GCATAGTTGAATTTTAAAACGCCGACCCTTGGTTGTTATGTGTTTGAGATTTGTGTGACATTACTAACTGCATCATCATTTAAAAATAACTGTGCATGGGTGTGGCCAGTCGCCACTTGAGGGCTCCACATGTGCTCAACTTTCACGGACTAGTTCGAGCCTGTGCGAGTGTGAAACCATTGGGAATAATTTATTCAAAAAAATTCAGCAAGAGACATGTTTGTATTATAATGTCCTTCATGTTACGGGCACAGCATATTCCTGCACCTTTCTATGTCATGTGACTTGACTTGGTTTAAGTGACAGAACAGTTGACAACTACAGTACAGTACATGTAGTTGTGAAAACCGAAAAGGAAAAAAAAGTGGAATTTAATTGAATCAGAATTCAGAATTTAATCAGACTGATAAAGACGCCTTTAAAGTGCTTGCTATGAAGAACATTTCAATGGATACTCTGTACAGAGACACGTCTTCACTTCCCCCACTGTGTTTGTCGCCAGGTTTGATCGGTGTATTTCAGCAGGGGCAGGGAATTCAAGTGATTGGCTCCTGACACAAAACAGAAAGTTGGAGCGATCTTTAAGGATAATTTACAATTTCAACAGAAACTGTGATTCTTTTGTTTTGATCAGGGATGCTTCCTAGTTTTGCCTTCTATTTTGTGTAAGAATACTTCTTCCAAAAGGAAAGAAAAACCAAAACCTTTGGAATGCATTGCGCTATAATGTTGACTTAGCATAGAGTTTTGCCGGGTGTTTATAGATTTCCATCAGCTTCCTTCTTTAATCAGTTTCTTATTTATCTTGTCTAATTGTGCAACTTTTGGTTTCTGTCTTTCGGGGAAAGATAGTCTGAAGTCTGTTTGTCCTTGTTGAAGTTCTCTCTCACAGTGATAATTTCTCATGCTCATCGTAGAAAGAAGCAGAAAAATAAGCCAGATTGCACGTCCATGGACAAAACAAGTGGCTTTTCCAATTATTAGCTTGGAGAAACTTTGGAGGCAGTTGGGGGCTTCTGGAGGATTTTTAATGCAGGTTTTTGCCTACTCAGAACTTTTGATTTACATGCACGTGTAGATGTAAGACAAAGCTTGACTGAAAATCTCATGATTAGGGGTTTTGCATGACCGCTTATGCATATAACCGTTCACTCAGGATTACCAGCCGCAATATGTGATTGACAGGAGTCACAGGAACCCATGGTAAAAACAGGAGGTGACATTGATACTGTCTGGCATCACAAAACCTGCAATTTCTCACTTTATTTTGCTTTGTTCTCACTGCTTTCATAACTGCTGATTAGTTGTTCCTATTTTTTTCATAATTGCTGGTTAAGAGTTAAAAATACCTGGCAGCAACAGAGGTGTTTTTTTCCAACAGATATACCACACATGCAGCTGATCAGAACACAATTCCCTTGTCCCTCCCTTTTCAATTTTTAATACTTAATAGTCAGTGTGTTGCTACGTGAACCTGCAGGTGTTATTTAAACTGGTTAAGAATAACAACAGCAGCAGAGACTCTGTGGAATTTGTTTCCAATATCAAAGTTAGCAAAGAATTGTTGAAACCACATCTGTTCGCTTCTGTTCTTCAGTGGTTTTTACGGGCGATTTGTCCTCCTTGGGGGTGATTTTGTGTTGTGCGTGTGATTTTTGTGAAATGTTGTATCCACTGTTTTTAGTTTTAGTGAATTAATCGCTATTTTAATGTTCATTATATTTCAATGTCAATGTATACTGTGTTTTAATGTTAGGCCCAATTTGATATAATGTTAGTACATTATGTTACATGTAATTATATTTTAATGTTTTTAAACTGTTTGGAATGTGCATTTGAACATATTTGTAGTGAAATCTGCACAATATAAATGAATAAATTATTATTAAAGGGTACTTTGATTCTTTTCCACATTGGATCATTTTGCAATGCATTGAAACTACAATGGACACGTGTGTGTCTTTATATCCAATTTCCCAAAATTCCCCCCCCCCCAAAAAGTAAGGGTTGCATCAAAATCCCAGTAGTTGTAGGTTGGGGAACAGGAAGCATAACTAATTTCTTGCCTTATTTGTATTTATTTAGTGTTTATCAGTCATGACATGTGTAAGTTTAAATGCACCAAACCGTTGAACCATGGTCCAACAATCAACACTGTCCCGTGACATCATGTGACATCATGTGATGGGATCATGTCCCACAGACTAGCAGTGACCTGTGACAACACACCTTCCCCATTGACCGCAGATTGGTCGGATGATTCTCATTCCGGGGAATGAAGCATTGGTTGGACAATAGACTCTCTCAAGTGGTGAGCCAGACATTGAAATGAAACTTAAGAGGGAGGCAATGTACCGGGACCCTGACCCGAAGCTCTGCATTATAAAAGTAAAATAATTCCTATATTATGTCAACAACAAGAGCTCAGTGCGTGCGATAAGGTCTTATCTTCAGCTGCAGGGGTGTGTGAACATTGAGGAAGTAAAATGCTGTGCTACAGAAGTCACAGAACAGTCCCAGTCACCCCATGTGCCTAGTCAATATTAACTCCTAAAGGGTCTAGGTCACAGTTGCCGAAACTGTTGAAATCGTGTCAGTGTGTTAACTTGAGAAAATACATGTATACCAGTGTATGTACTTGACACATGGACTTAAGTACATTGTAGCTCACAATGTACATGTACCTATTGCATTTTGGGCATAGTCAAGGGTCAGGTCACTATGGCTAAACAATAGGAATCCTCTTGTAACCACAAATTTAAAGAGGGTTCAGGAATTGGCTTGGGGAGCCATTTGTGTTTTGTTAGCGCATCATTTTTGCTTCAACTTTGTAGTTTCCGTTGTTCAGTTCAGCCTTGTATCTGGAAAGCGGGTACATGTAGATTAATATCAGACGGGAAGTTACTTAATGTTTGTCTTACCCACAAAGGCATGCATGATCTGGGCACCTTGTGATGCGACCACATCCTCGCCGTCCTACCAAAATGGACAGGCGTGTACAGAATGTGTAGGGTTCCCCTTGGATCAGACCATTTCCTCTTCTTTCCCTCGTTGCACGTGACAGTTTAAGTGCCACTCTCTCATTACCGCAGAAACAATTGAAATATTTTTTTTCCCCAAACCAAATCAGTCTCGCAACAGGGGTCCTCAAAGCAGCCAACGTTCTTTTGTTAGGACTTCACCACCAGAGCCCCCCGCCACCCCCCCCTTTGAGGAAAAAGAAATACCATTCAGTTGAATGTGTATTCAACTTTCCTTGACACTGCTCTCTTGCTTACATTGTTTCTTGGAGCTTTGCTTGTGTAATCAGCTCACCTCAGCAGAGACTTTCGGTTGCAGTTTTCACCTCAAATCTTGATTTGAAAGAAGAGATACCAGCACGGTGGCCTTCAAAATTGAAGCCAAAGCACCTGCTTTTTTTCATAACAATCTTTCGAAAGTTATTAAACCCCAACGCACCACCTTTGGGCAGTATGTTGAAATAATGGTACTGATCAATGTGCTTTTGGTTTCATAGCTCTGCTACTTGTAAATGCATGTTCAACAAACCAGCGAGTTGGCCTTGATATTCCTACCACTTTCTTCTAACAAAACACGTTCACAGCCGAAATAAAAGGTGTCAAAGTAATGGCAGCACAGGGATTCAAAACTACCATCATGCTGTGGTACGTGAACAGGCTTTGAATTGTAGGAATGCACTGGCAACGGACGGAATGGCTCCACCATTATTTCATGTCCATGTGGCATTGAGGGAGAAGACAATGCATGGTATCACCGTAATGTACACTGAGACTCTTGAAGGAATCTGTAACAACATAACAAAGGCAAACGTTTATCCCCGAGCAGTCTTGCTTGAGGTACATGTACATGCACCAGGTATTTTGCTCACAGCTGGCATTTAATGAAATGGTCAACTCCATCTCACTACCAGAGTGCACTGTTGTACTAGCCTTTATTATAAAACACTCGGAAATGACCGTAGCACCACTTCTGCAGAATGAAAAATGAGCTATTGAATATGCGTGCTTGCGTACTTAGCTTGGCAAAGAGGGCGCGCTCTGCTTTTCTGTACATGTAAGGCAGACAGCTGACTTGCCAATGGCTCATTGATTGTGTGTGTAGTAGAGCTCTTCTGTGTTCTGAGTGCCATCTGTTGTTCAGTGGAGCCTGCATTGGCCCTGAAGCAACAACCACATATGAGCTGAGCACAGTTATGAGCCCCAGTGGTAGGGCTGAGTCAGTTTGATTAATTCACTATTCGAATATTCGACCTTCAATTTGATCGAATACCCAAATATTCGGTTGTACCAACCGGCAGATTGTTAATGAACAAACCATATCAGTTAGAATAATGCAGACAGTTGTATATTATGATCAATATAATAGCTTCTCACATCTGGAAGTATCTTCAGCCACGATTTAACAAGATTTAAAAGATGAACAATACTTCTTGCCCTGTTGACAATTTCTGTTCCTTTTAAATTGTTTATTGAATAATTTACTTTTGAAATCATAAGATTTCTGACGCTTTTCATTTGAACTTGCTTGAAACAAGCCTCCACGCTGCAATTTTCTCATTTAAAACAAAAGAAATTTTTCCCTTCCTTTTCATGAATTTTGCTTACGAATATTTGAATATTCAATAATCGATCGAATATTCAGTTATTTGGATATTCTTCACAGCCCTACCCCAGTGGGCTATGCAATTGTGGTAGAGTCGACTGTAGAAACTGTGACATCATGAGAAATAGTCATAAACATTTTTTCGATTGAATGCTTAGACACGGATTGCCAAATGTGGCCAAAAGAGGTGCCAGTTGAAACAGATTTATGCTGCCAAGACTTATGGGAAATTTTGGGATGGTGGATATAAAACAAGATGCGAAAGTTCTAGAAAGAGCCATGTTTTGTATGGTTTAATTCCCACATGCTCAAACATGTATGAACCGGTATATGCGCTAAGTTTCCTTCCCCCATTTTTTCTTTTTCTTTCACTTCAGATTTGCAGGATGAGACACGCTTTGCTTGCAGGAATCCTACTGACATTGGCATATGCCGCATTTGCCGATGAGGTACTGATTGTGCTCAATCCTTCTTTCAGGATTAAGAAATGAAGCTCATAGTTCCAAGTTTACCATGTGTTTGATTAACTCTGTTTTCATACTGAGATGTTGAGTCAATCGGAGTCAAGTAATTGTTTGGACTTTTTTTCTTTGCAGTCCAACTTATCGACTGATTACATGATTGACGTCAGCTTAAAGGCCTGTTCATATTGCTGGCAAATGTGAATGTGAAGCAGATTTGATATCACAAAGAGTTGCAGCAAAACTTCGCTGAGTTGAACTGTGATCAACTTTGAGGAATATATGATCTGATGTCACAAATTGGCATCCGTGTTCACTTTCGCACCAAATATGAACTGACCTTAACTGAAGAAAATGTCACAGCATTGTTCACCCATGAAACAACTTCTTTTTCACAGGCGGTGAATGTGGTCTGCCCGGGTGGTCAGTACCAATGTCCATCTGGTGACACCTGTTGCAGGCTAAGCTCTGGACAGTGGGGCTGCTGTCTATATGCCCATGTAAGTCCCTTGTGACCTGGCGATGAGGGTTTTCTGGACATCATAATTGACCGCACAAATCAATGCAACACCAATGTTCTTTCCCTCAGATTTTATTTAACTCATCATAATTCTGCTCATGGCTATGCAAATAATTTAGGTTTTCCTCTCTTAATTTTTTTCCATTGGAATTTTCCTGCAAACATGGCAAATGGACACAGTTTGTTAGAGCAAGTTTGTTGTTCTTGTAGCACTGCAGACAGCAAAGAACGACTGATTTGTTTAAGGCAGCACTGTATGCATGGTATGTGTTGTTATCCAGTCTGAAAGCCAAGTCACCACGTCATTTCTTGGTCATTGTTCATCCTGCTATTTAATCGTGCATGGTCTTGGGGGAAGACTTGTAACAGGAGTTACGTATGGCAGGACTTACGTATCGTACTGGACTGGAAACGCACCATGGAAGCAAGTTGTGGTCCTCTCTTCTCATGGTGAAGCAAATGCATGTCTGTACCTGTTATTGTGTATGGAGGGTTTGCGTGGCTGCCATGCTGCAGGCCAGCTTTTGTTCCACAGGGTATGCACAAAGGAGGTTTCCCTTTGGAACAAACAACCTGCCCTGCAAGATGGCTACCATGCAAAGCTTGTATTGCGTAATTGTGAAATGGCAACTTTCATGCCCTGTTTAGAGGAGACACTTGACACTTTCTGAAAAACAGAATTGACCAATTGTTCGTTAAAGGCCGTGTGCTGTAGCGATCACATCCACTGCTGTCCTTCTGGATACACTTGCAACGTTGCCAACGGAACATGCAACCGAGGAGACCTCTTGATGCCGTTGGCAACAAAGAACGTTGCCCAGCCAGTTGAAGTAAGTGTAATGAGACCAAACCAAAACTGTGCTTGCAACCGAGTTCGGAAGTCAGGTCGTAGCTGTAATGAACACGACATGGTGGCCTGTCCCACGAATTAATGTGTCTGCATTGTGCTCAATCCTTCTTTCAGGATTAAGAAATGAAGCTCATAGTTCCAAGTTTACCATGTGTTTGATTAACTCTGTTTTCGTACTGAGATGTTGAGTTACATCGGAGTCAAGTAATTGTTTGGACTTTTTTCTTTGCAGTCCAACTTATCGACTGATTACATGATTGACATCAGCTTAAAGGCCTGTTCATATTGCTGGCAAATGTGAACGTGAAGCAGATTTGATATCACAAAGAGTTGCAGCAAAACTTTGCTGAGTTGAACTGTGATCAACTTTGACGAATATATGATCTGATGTCACAAATCGGCATCTGTGTTCACTTTCGCACCAAATAAAGTAAAAAGTAAAGTAAAAAAAATGAAACTGAAGAAAATGTCACAGAAGATGTAGCATTGTTTACCCATGAAACAACTTCTCCTCCACAGGCTGTGAATGTGGTCTGCCCGGGTGGTCAGTACCAATGTCCATCCGGTGACACCTGTTGCAGGCTAAGCTCTGGACAGTGGGGCTGCTGTCCATATGTCCATGTAAGTCCCCTGTGACCTGGCGATAAGGGTTTTCTGGACATCATAATTGACCGCACAAATCAATGCAACACCGATGTTCATTCCCTCAGATTTTATTCAATTCATCATAATTCTGCTCATGGCTC